TTCTGCGCAGCGTGGCTGGCGCTGTGCCATCGGCCCCGCGATCGGGCGGAGGTCCGCACAGCCCGCCTTTCCACTATCCAAACACAATTCTTCACACAACGGCCGCGCCATTGCGAGCTTCAGGCGGCACCGTTCCGTGGCGTTTGTTCCTGCACAGCCCAAGCTAATGCGCGGCATTCCTGTCGGCCTTCTCTGTCTCGCGTCTCCCTTTCTCCCTCTCCTCTCTCCTCTGCGCTTGAATGCACAAGTCCGAACCCACAGGCAATGTGTTGTATGAGCGTGCCCCTTCTGGCTCCAGTCGTCTCTTCGTCCGTTTGTAGGCCGCAATTATTGGATTACATATGAAGAGCAACTCACGGCAGCAAGCAACCAGGCCCCATGGGTCTTAGAACCAACCGCCAGGATGCATTAGGCGGCCATCGCATGTGGGCGGGCGCGCCCACCAGGACATGGCGCCCACCGCCAGGACCCAATGGACCCCCGCGAGAGACCGTGGACAAGCGTTGCTGAGCGAAACGTGCTCACACCCAACCTCCCCTCCCCCTCACCTAGACTGCAAAGGGCTGTTTGGTAGGGTTTAAACGTTCATATTCCCCCCGCCCATCTCCTCGCACTGCATGCAACGACTCCCTCTCCCAAAACTGGCCACGACCCCTCGAAAAAAAACGTTTGGACCGCGTCCCGAGCTTCTAAGACGACCAAGGCAGCCAACCAAGGCCGCCAAGATGGCCCAAGATGCCTCGAAGACGCCCCTAGATGTCCTCAAGGCGGCCCAGACTGGCATCAAGACGGCCAAGGATGCCTTCAAGCGTGCGCATTAGGGCCACTAGAGGACCCATGACATGTTCCAGTGGTTGTCCAAGGATGATGCCATTCTCGCCATCTCGGGCGTCAATCAGCTCAAGATGGCGCAAGACGACTCAAACTTAGCCTCAACATGCCCCCGTGAGAGCGGCAAGATGGCCAAAGAGGACCCCACGATGACCCAAAAGGCCTCCAAGACGGCCTCAAGCTGGCTGCTGAGTGTCTTCAGAAGGGCCCCTCGATGGCCAAAGACGGCGCCGAGATGGCCCCACGACGGACCCGACACACCCTCAATATGGCCAAGAGAGCCACAGACGACCGAAGAGAGCCCTAAGACGGCTTGGGGGGAGCCCCGAGACGGCCCCGCAAGGCCCCAGGCGACCTCCCCAGGACTGCCCCGAGGAGCCCAAGCCAATCCCAAAACTGCCCAAATGAGAGCCATGAGAGCGTCGAGAAACGAAGACGAAGGTGTTATAAGAGAAGTGTTCACCTAGTGTTCCTCCTCCTCTTCCTGCTTCGCCTCCACTTCATCATTTACCTCCTCTTCCGCATCATCCTCCTGCTCTTATTCCTCTTCCTCCTGCTGCTCCTGCTCCTCCTCCTCCTCCTCTGCATCATCATCATCACCACCATCAGCGTCATCAGCATCATCATTAGCATCGTCATCAACATCATCAGCATCATCATCGTCATCATCATCATCACCACCACCATCATCATCAGCATCATCATCATCACCATTATCACCGTCGCCAGTACCCTCATCACCGCCACCATCACTTTGCTTCGGCCGAACAAAGAAACCTCGACGGGCAAACAAGGATACTGCTCCCAGCGAGCCAGGCAATGCCCTAGACCGACAGAGGAACTTATTTCGGGCGAGCGGGCGCATTTCTTCGGTCGAACGTAGGAAATATAGTTCGTACGGGCGGGGACATGTTCCACATCGAAAAAGGGAATTCACACACGCTGGAACAGGAAACTCCTGTTGGAAAGCTCCAGACAGAATTCCACGAATGATTGAACACCTTCGAAAGGACCCTCATCTCATCAATGCCACCGAGACCCGAACGCCCATGAAAAAACAGGACACGGTAAACGCAATCGTTTCAAACCCAACTGAGCCTCCGAACCTCCCCCGCCCAATTCGCAACCACTACGCAATACTGCATAGCGAGCACCTGGACGACACACTGCTGCCCTAAGTTTGCACCCCTCCTTTTTCCGAAGAACTCTCGGCCAACCCGATTTTTCAGCTTTAGGGCAATGACTGTTGAATGAGCGAACGCCACGACAAATTACAATCCGTCACACGATAACAAGAGCTGCCGAGTAAGGAAACATACGGACGCTGGAATAAGAACCTTCTGCTGGTAGCCTCCAAAACCACTGGTCGACACTCGAGCGCCCGCGATAAGCAGCGAGCCCTGTAGGCGGAATCGATTCTGTAGACCCAACCCAGCCATCGAACCTCCCCCTTACAATGCACGACGACTGCATGAAACAAAGAAAACAAACGCCTGAATAACACACGTCTGCCTTAACCCTGAAAACGCCCATTCTTCCGGATTGTTTGCGGCCACGCCGAGTTTTCAACTTGAGGGCATATTCGTTGATCGGGCGGACGCTGATCGAACAAACAAAGCACCACATGATTACAAAAGCCGCGGAACGACGAAACTTACTGACGCTTGAATCGGAAACGTCTGCTAGAAACTTCCAAACACCACTGAGCGAAACCCGAACACCCGCGAGAAACAAGGAGCCCTGTAAACGCAATCGTTTCCGTGGACATCCTCTCCGGCCGTCGAACCCCCCTCTGCTACATGAGAATGCAAATCGAACACCCGAGTATCAAACGCCTGCCGTAATTTGAACTCCCCATTTCCGTAAGAACCCGCGGCCACCCCGAGTTTTCAGTTCTAGAGCGGCAGCCGTTGATCTGGCGAACGCTACGCCAAACAACGACCCATCACATGATTACAAGAACCGTCGAACGAGGAACCTTGCGTACACTGAAGAAACTCACGCTGGAAACCTCCAGGCACCACGGAACGAAACCCGAACGCCCGCGGAACACAACGATCCCTGCGAACGCAATCGTTACTTTAGACCCCTCCTCCAGCCTGTAAACTTGACTCTTCCCATACACAATGGCTTCATAATCCGCCGGCCCCCTTGTGGGGCCATCAGGCTGCAGGGATGAGGGTTGCAGTACCCTGCACCAGTTCACCAGGTCCAGTTTCCAATTTCCAATGTTACAGTCCTGCTTTGGGCTTCCTATAGAAACTTGTTCAAGTCCGCGCAAGGGGGGGAGCCCCAAAAGAGCAATCTGACACCCTCGGATCGCGTGCTCTGAATTGGCGGAGGGGCGTGGGACACGTAAAAATACGTAGCACCCCGCAGATGCGGACAAGAGTTGGGGGGCGGTGGGGACGTCGGCAATTTGCGAGACTCTGAAGAAGCCCGCCGCAGGCGCCAAAAGTTCACAAATTATACGACGAGCCCGCCGCAGACGCCGATGTTTTCGTTACACCAATGTGGGTAGGTTGCGGGTGGGTCGCGGGTGGGTCGCAAATGGGTCGCGGGTGTAGAGAGCAGACAATCCACCCCATAATCATCACCCCGACAAGAGAAGCCTTTTAGTACACGCACACAAGGACTGAGTCGAACAGAGCAGCGCTGTTTAGTCAACGCCCAGGGCCGTTTAGTAAACGTCAATTGTCGGGTCCGAGTGGTTTTTCCACCCTCGAGGGTGGGTCGCGGGGTGGGTCGCGGGTGGGTCGCGGATGGGGTCGCGGGTGGGTCGCGGGTGGGTCGCGGATGGGTCGCGGGGCAGGTCGCGGGTGGGTCGCGGGGTGGGGTCGCGGGTGGGTCGCGGGTGGGTCGCGGGGTAGGTCGCGGGTGGGTCGCGGGGTGGGTCGCGGGTGGGTCGCGGGGTGGGTCGCGAAGTGGGTCGCGGGGTGGGTCGCGCGGTGGGTCGCGGGGTGGGTCGCGGGTGGGTCGCGGGTGTGGACGACGACAACAAACAACAACAACATCAACAACAACAACAACAACAACAACAACAACACCACCACCACCACCAACAACAACAACAACAACAACGCAACAAGCAGAATTCTCATCACGAATTCCTCATTCAGCCACGCACCCAAGGACAATGAATGACCGTTCTCCCCCCTCATTCTGATATGAGATTCGCGCCCCCGACGCCATACCCCTTTGTAAATTACATGATATGTGCGTCCCCGAGGCCAAGAACCCTCGCACATTATAAAATTGGTCCGTCCCCGAGGTAACAAACATCGTACATTGCGCAAGTTTCGCGTCCCCGAGGCCATTCACCCTTGCAAATTACACAGTTATTGCGCCCACGAAGCAACAAACCATTGCAAAGTACTCAAGTCTTGCGCCCCCGAAGCGAAAACGATGGGGACGACAACGACGACGACGACGACGACTGGGCAACAATGACAGCGACGACGAGTCTCCGACGACTGAGCGTCGACGACGACGAAGAGAGACGGCGACGACAACGACGACGACGACGACGGACGACGGCGACTGCCATATTGGACGACGACGGCACGACGGCAACGACGCAGACGCAGACGACGACGACAATTGCGTGACGACGACGACGACTAGACAACAACTGGGCGACGCCTGGGCGACGACAACGAGGACGAAAACGACGACCACGACGAAGCAGACGACGACCACGCCGACGACGGCGACGACGACGACAGCGACGGCGACGGCGGCGGCGGCGGTGAGGACAACGATGGACGACGATGACGACGAACACGACGACGACCACGGACGACGACGACCGATTACGAAGGGCGCCGACGACGGTGGCGACGACTGGGCGACGACGATGACTGGACGACGACGACGACTGGACGACGACGATGGAGGCCTCCGACATCTTCCTCCTCCTCTTCCTTATTTCTGTCGTCTTCGTCTCTCTCCTCCTCTCCTTTCTCCTTCTCCTCCAATTTCCTCCGTATTCGGCGCCACGGAGCACGAACCGACACTGGAAAAATAATCGACTACGCCGTCCAGCTTACCGTCCTCCTCCGACTCCTCCTGCCTCTCCCCAAGGCAACATGTATGTGATCAACGGTCTTGCGCATGTGGGCGATCAGCGTGTCTGCGAGCATCCAGGCACCAACAATATTATTTCTGCAGGCGCCACCAATGGTCCGCGAGCACCGCACCGTGCCGGTGAGCGCCAGTGTGCCTACGAACGCCACACTTTGACCGGTGTTCCGGAACATGATGGACCCACGAACCCGGAAAGGGATATAGACATGTGGAGCATGGACACGTTTTCACGATACCCAACTGGGCAACACCTCACGAAACATCCCACGAGACACTTCACGAAACATCCCACGAGACACCTCACGAAACATTCCACGAGACACCTCACGAAACATTCCACGAGACACCCCGCGAAACATTCCACGAGACACCCCACGAAACATTCCACGACGACAGGCAACCACTCAACCAAGGCGGTGTGGTCGTGCTGGGGAGTGGTCGTGCTGGGGTGTGGTGCTGGGGTGCGTGCTGGGGGTGGTCGTGCTGGGGTGTGGTCGTGCTAGGGTGGGGTCGTGCTGGGGTGGGGTCGTGCTGGGGTGTGGTCGTGCTCGTGCGTGCTGGGGCGTGGTCGTGCTGGGGTGGGGTCGTGCTGGGGTGGGGTCGTGCTGGGGTGTGGTCGTGCTGGGGTGGTCCGCACCCTGTGATTTATCGATCGGGTCGTGCTGGGGTGTGGTCGTGCTGGTGCTGGGGTGTGGTCGTGCTGGGGTGTGGTCGTGCTGGGGTGTGGTCGTGCTGGGGTGTGGTCGTGCTGGGGTGTGGTCGTGCTGGGGCGTGGTCGTGCTGGGCGTGGTCGTGCTGGGGTGTGGTCATGCTGGGGGTGTGGTCGTGCTGAGGTGTCCCGCACCCTGTGATTTATCGATCGGGATTTCAAAAACAAGCGTTTCGCCTGAGACATACTCAAATTTTAATCCGCCGGCCTCATTCGACCTCGATATTTATCAGGGAAAGAATCCGCCGGCCTCCTTCAAGTTGGGCACCGGGGACATGTTTACATAGGAAAAGAGAACCCTGGGCCTATGCCCTTTCCGGGAAAAAAGGCGCACCCCAGCGCTATGACCGCACCATCTTGCTCAGGCTTTGGTGCATAAAGTCCATTGCGGCAGTGCCGAAGGTTCATTGCGCGTGAAGGGGGGGTGGGGAGCAGTGCCGGGTGCGCTCGGTGGGGGCTTGGTGGGGGGGGAACTGGTAAAGGGGGCGGGGGGGTCATATCGCGGGATATGGCTCAGGGAATTCCCGGGCACAGATGTGGCAGTCTTGAAATATACGACAAGAATCATTGTGGACCCGTCTTAGAAAAAACGATAATATTTGAGGGAGGCCCGCACGCGCCCCCGACAAGACGACGCAAACCGGCCGGCGCACCGTCGAGCACAGTCCCTACCCAAGGACCCAAGGACCTGCTTGCTTCATGTTGCGAAACGACTACACGAGGCTCGAAACATAATATACACACTGACATGGTTTGAAAATGCGTCCTCGAATACCAAATTCCCTTTGATAATTTAGAGAACGGGGCCGTGGGAAAATAATTGCCGTCAATATGGCAGGAATACGCCCAACACGTGCGCCTTGCATTGCATGATCACGGATGGGAAGAACTGAACATAACACAACGGAAGATTGACGAAAGCATTCGAAATCCTGACGGCGTGGGCACACGGGGACACTCGCATGACAGGCAAATATGCAGATGGCGCACGAACAGAACAACTGCAAGCCCTGACACCAGAAAACAGACGTCAGGAGAAAGCTCATGGAATGCGGAGCGCGAACCGAATTATGGTCCAGAACCACGGATGCCACCGCGACCGTCGCTCCCAGCAATCAAATCTGACTCTGGCGGCGAGGCAACGCACTAGCTGAAGCGACGCAAAAGGCGTCGCTACATGTCTACGAGGGGATCCTAGACGCGAAGCGCAAGACGCATGCAAGCGGAGAACAATGATATACAATAACTGTTATAAATGTCCGCTGGCGTCGCCTTGACTGTTTGACATGAAGAGAATGAAATGGGTATCGTACCATGTGTATGGACCAACCGCCGTACCTTCAGCAAATAATGGAATGTCCCGAAACCTTGACAAATCTTCGAATAACGAAAAACATTGCAAACATCTACAAGTCCCCTGACACCGATTTTTTTCCAACGGTCATGGACGTTGCTGGGCGTTCCCAAGATCATCCGCGTGACTTTCCCGAACCCAACGCCCCAGCGAGGCCCAAGCGGGCCAAAACACAATCCAAATGAGCCGCGGGACGGCTCAACAGGGCCCAGTGACGGTCGACCGCGGCCTCAACAATGCCCAAATGCGCCCCCCCAGACACCCAACGAGGGCCGTCAAATATCCTAACCGTTCCCCAAGAGAGCCTCGCCAAGAGAACGCACGAGTGCTCCCAAGGTGTTCAAAAGAGATGTTTGCGCTCTCGCCGCCTCAAGCTTGACACGCCCAAGACCACCCAAGAGATCCCAGGCATCGCCACGAAACGGCACAAGCGGCCACCAAGATGGTCTCATGACGCCCACGCAGGCTGGATCAGACTGGGATGGAAAGGGCGGAAATGTGGCGGGAGCCAGCTGCGGTCGTCGTAGCGCGGCGCCGCCCACACATTGACGACGCGGAAGACGCCACCCCGCGTAAATACTTCGCGCCATCCCCGTTCATGACAAACTGCTTCAAGGCTTCAATGAAGGTGATGAGGAAACGGGCTGTTCTCGTCGTCGGGCCCTGGGCAGCGCTGCGGAACATCTCCGCGTTCGCAACGATTTGCTTGCCTTCGGGCCGAACGGAGACTCTGTGTTTCAAGCCCGTTCCCGCCACGCGCTCCGTTCACGCCATGGCGCACAGGGCCTGGCTGGGCACCGTCTGCCCGCGCGGCTCCGCGGATTTGGCGCGCACGTAGTCAATGGGGCGTAAGACCGTCACGGTCGATGGGACACCGCACGCGCGCAAGAAACGCCTGCGCATCGTCTCCACGGCGTGCGCGTCCGACCTCACCATGTAGATGCGCGTGCGGCCCGTGACCGTCCTTTGCGCGTTTCAGGTCACACGCAGGACCGCGCAATCTCAAACGACGTCGCTCCCATCTCTCTTCGAGCAGCGTGGTCAGGCGAGGTTTACACCGAAGCAACTCTTGCGCCTCCGACCCACGACGGCTCTCCTTCGCTGCCGCGCGGCACCTCCGCGCGAAACGGGTCCCCGCCATCGCGCGGGCCCCCAGCGGCGGCGGGGCTTCGGGCGTTCCACGGTTGGCCGCCGCCACGAAGTTTGCCACGGCGTCGTCCAGCATGGCCCGCTCAGGGCTGCCATGGATTGCCCTCGGCCGTTTCTGCGCTTGTTCCTCGGCCACTGACTGGTCCACGGACTCCCTCAGAGGCCGCCGCGCCTCCTCCACGCTGGGGTCCGCGGCCGCCGCCACCTGCTCGAACGTTCCATCGAACTCGGTTTCGTTCGCCAGAGGCGCCAGGCGCAGGCCGATGATATCGTATCATGGAGCACCTTGTGGACCCGCCGCCGCGCGGCGTCGAGTGCGCACGACCCAAAGGCCAGCATTTGCGCCCAACCGTTGTTCAACGGACGAGCGCCTGATCCCAAATGGCCACAAACGTCGCGCACAGAGAATAACACACGAATGCTTCCGTTGGAGAACCATTCAAACTGCGAAATTGGCGTTGGCGCAGGCCGTGCGCTGCCCCACTAGAAACCCCACAACAAAGCGGCGGATTGCGTGGCAACGCGGCGTGCATACATACGGAATGACGAATGAAGCGGGGACGCGCCGGGAATTCAGTTTCACAAAGGGTGGGGCAACACATGTAGCCACTGCCCCTCAAAACTGCTGGCGCTGGAGGTGACCATCTGTCGAGGGAACAGCGCGGCGGCGGGGTCGAAACAGATCCATACAGCAGTCTCGGCAATCCCCTTTGCTAGCGCACTCTGTCCGTCAACGCAGAAAGGGAGAGGGAGAGAGAGATAGAGAGACAAACAGACACACAGCCAGGCAGACTGACAGACAGACAAACAGACACGCAGACAAACAGACAAACAGGCAGACAGGCAGACATAAAGACATACATACAAACAGGCGGGCAGACAGACAGACAGAGATAAAGGGAAGACACCTGCTGTACGATGAGCAGGACGACGACAACAACAAAGAACGATTAGCGGCGCGCGAAACATAATGGTGCCAACGGGGTTGCCTTCTGAGAAAACGGAGGGGACTTCGACGGGATTGCTTAGAAACACGCAAGCCCTTTGGGCGACAAGTGGTGTAAGGGTGATATCGTTTTGCTTCCACAAACCCCCTTCCCTTCGGGAAGGGGAACCCTCCCCCTCCCCTCCTTGCGGATTTTTGGAGGGGGACCGATGTGTCAGAGGGTCCCTTTTTCGGCAAGTGGGAGGGCCGATTTCTGACACCCATCAAGAGGATCGTGGCCCCCGACGGAGGGGGGGGCAGACATCGAGGACCCCCTCTTTTGACCAACCGCCTCGAAGATGGTCCCAAGAGGCCCTCCAAAACTCCCAAGAGGCCCCCAACAAAACCCCAAGAACGCCCCAAGAGGCCCCAACAAGCCTCCAAGAGGCACCCGAAAGGCACCCAAGAGGTCCCCTGAACAGCCGAACAGCCCCCCAACAAGCCCAAGAAACTCACTCGAGGCACGCAAGACGCCGTCTCGTCTTCGTTCTCCTCCTCGTCCTCCTCGTCCTCGTCTTCGTCCCCCTCCTCGTCCCCATCCTCGTCGACCTCCTCCTCCTCCTCCTCCACCTCCTCCTCCTCCCCCTCCCTCTCCTCCTCCTCTTCCTCCTGATTATTATTATCCTCCTTCTCCTCCTCCTCCTCGTCCTCTCGTTATCGTCCATATCCTCCGTCCGCGTCCTCGTCATTTTGTTCCTCCTCTTCCTCCTCCTCCTCCTCTTCGTCCTCCTCCTCCTTCTCCCCCGTCCACCTCCTCCTTTTCCTCCGCGTTATCATCCTCCCCCTCCTCCTCCTCCTACTCCTCCTCGTCCTGCTCCTGCTCCTCCTCCTCCTCCTCCCCCTCCCCCTCCTCCTCCTCCTCCGCCTCCACCACCTCCTCCTCCTCCTCCTCCCCCTCCTCCACCTCCTCCTCCTCCTCCTCCTCCTCATCATCCTCATCCTCATCCTCCTCAGTCTCGTATTCCTCGTCCTTTTCATCCTCGTCCTCTTTCTCCTCGGCTTGCTCCTCTTGCCTCCTCCCTCATCCTACTCCTCCTTCTCCTCCTCCTCCCCCTCCTTCTTTTTCCTGCTCCTCCTCCTCTGCCTCCTTCTCCTCTCCTCCTCCTCCTCCTCCTCCTCCTCCCTCCTCCCTCCTCCTCCTCCTCCTCCTCCTCCTCCTCCTCCTCCTCCTCCTCCTCCTCCTCCTCCTCCTCCTCCTCCTCCTCCCCCCTCCTCCTCCTCCCCTCCTCCTCCTCCTCCTCCTCCTCCTCCTCCTCCTCCTCCTCCTCCTCCTCCTCCTCGCCCCCCCCATGCGGGCCCAGAAATGGCCCCAACTCGCCGTCCAGGCTGGCCGCCCTCGTTGTTTGACTATGCGTGTCTCTTTCCGTCTCCCCCCGTCAGCTGTCATGGGCATCGTTTCTGCATGGGCTGTGGGGATACGTTTTGTTGGTCCGCGGGCGCGCGAAACGAGACGAACACCGAGCCTGCTACGGCGGGCCGTGGCGGTAGCGAAGAGAAAAACAGTAAGCGACGGCACGCTGGAGGCCGCGAAACCGACCAGGCAGCAAGCTTCAAGAATTCCCACCGGCTTACGAGACGTCTTCATCAAAACTCTCGGGCCCTTCCAAGGACGGCCCCTGTCTTTTAGGATACCCCCACTTCCTTGGAAGGCCGCCACCCTCGCACCACCCGCCCCCAGCTCAAGGGGCGCGTTCTGACAAGGATTCCAAGCCGAATGTGGCGACGATGGCCCCGCCCCAAGAACACTCACAATGGCAACAACGGGAGGGGGCATCGGGTACATGCTCTCTCCCTTGCGACGGCTATGAAACACGAGCACGACACCGAGAGGCCTCGCGCCACTCGCCAGCGCCGGCGAACCGGGCACCCGAAAACATAGCTCTGGAACCAAACGCCCTCCCACTCCTCTCGGGCGACTGGCCAGTTGACAAGAAGAATTGGGTGATACGCGTGCCATCGACCGTGAACGCCATGTCGTCTGGATGCTCACAAACCCACGTATGGTACAAGACTGACAGGCTATTGGCGCGGTGAACCGCCTCGTTCGAGTAAGGGTGCATGTGCCGGGCTCTACGTACTGAGGCCGCAGACGTGGCCCACAACGGAGCTGTCCTGGACCCTGTATGCACCGACACATAGGGTAGCCACTGGGAGCTGCGACGCCATTAGGAGGTAACGTTATTTTGTTGCGACTCTCAAAGATGCACACTGTTGATACACCGGCGATTCTGCCAGACACCCAGCAATGTCGCTGGAGGCCAATCGCTCCGTGACCGAATGGGATCCAATCTTGAAGTCGGAGCGACGCTGGGATCTGCACTAAGTTCAAGAAGACAATTGAGGAGGCGGGAGGGCGCACGACTGATATGGAAAGAGAAGTAGAAGCATTCGCGCGCGCTCCGCGCGCGCTCCATTACTAGGTAGATCGAGAGGCGGTGGGACATGCAAACTGAAACATGCGAGAATCCTCAAAACCGTGAAGGCAGAGAAGTCGCGCATGGTAAGAGTGCACCTTCTTCCAAGGGGGGCGGGGCCATGTTGGCGTTTTGGGGCGCTCTTGGGAGTGCCGTTGGAGGCTTCCTGGAGCGTCTTGACTGGTCTCTTGGGACGTCTTGGGGCCATCTTGAGCAGCTTGGAGCGGTTCTTCGGCGATTCGCATCCCGCCTGGGCCATCGCGGGGGTTTTTGGAGGCCTCCTGGCCCGTGTTGAAGGGGCCGAAGACCGCTGCCACCGGCATGGGTGCCTGGAGGTGGCCCTGCGGGCCCCAGCCTCCAGACTCTGGGCGCGCGTATATTCAGGGAGAGGTGGCGCATATTCAAAAGCGGAGGCTGGCCTGCTGATCCGGGCAACTGTGGCCCTAGACGATGTTGAACTCGCACGGTGCACACAAAACCTTGTGATCTGTGTAGCGGAGCTGGCCTCTAGCGAAATGAATTTCCTGGCTGCGAGATGAAACTGTCCATCTGTGCTGAGCCGGGCTGACAACTAGGGAGATGGTGAGCGAGCTCCGCCATGGCAGCCATCGCTCAGGGTTGGCATGTACGACGACAGCTCTTACATAACATATGCGAGGAAGGCATTTGAGAATGGTGTCCAGGAGCGTCTGCATCAAGCGTGTCCATCTACGCTGCCAGGGCGCGGCCGAGCGCCCTGTCCGCGGGATCTCCTCGACGCTGCTCGCTGGGATCTCTTGTGTGCCGCGCCCCTCGCCGCGCGTGCGACGCCCCCGCTGGCGCGCTTCGTCTTGGCGGCGGAGCAGAAGGGGCCCGCGCGTCCGGGCCAATTGGTATCCGTCTAGACCTTCTGGGTGCCATGGTGGTTCGCAGCTCCGACGGCGTCGCCGAGGCTGAGGGCGCCTTTCCAGGGCCCCCCCCATGGCCCACGCGCGCGCGCGGGGGGCGGTGGTGGTGGGGGGGGGGGGGGGGGGCAGCCCAGCCCTCGCTACTTCACCTCGCCGTTCGTCTCTGAGGCGCACGCCGCGGCCGCCCGCTCGCCGGCGGCGGCGCGGGCGCTGTCGGGGGGGGGGGGGGGGGGGGGGGGGGGGGGGGGCAAAAGACGCCTGGGAGACACGGCGCCGTTGACTGAGCTTGAGACTTTGCTTCGTCGTTTTAGGCGCGTGGGCGCGTTTCTTCGGGCCGGGGAAGGGCCAGGCGAGAGCGGCAGATGTCTCGGCGGCGCCTTCTCTGGCGTTGCGAGAAAGGCGCCGCCACTGCTCGTTCGCGGCTATGTCCCCGCTGGCAGACATGGCGCACCCTGCCGCAAGAACTCGAGCACGGCGCGAGACGGTGGGGGACAAGTACGGGAGATGATGGTCACACGGGGTCCAAATCGGCGCCATCCTGACCGCCGCGCTTCTCCGCCGCCCAGTATGGCAGCCACTGTAAATAAACGGTTTCGCGATCCCCTTCGCTTGGGCCGCTTTGACCTGCGCTGCGTCGAGGCGCCGCGCGCGAAAGCTGAGCGATGCACACCGCGCGCGCGAGCGCCTGCGTGTCTAGCCAGTCGCGCGACGCCGGCGACGGCTAGCCAGCAGACGGCAAATCGCTGAGGCGGATGTCGCCCAGCTCTTGCCGACGTCGACGCGCGCGGCCGCAGTCGGCTCGCGCGCAAGTGCATCCACGAGCGCGGCGACAGGGTCGCTCGACCCCCGCGCCGACGCGGCGTCGCCGCGGGCGGCGACCATGTCCTCCGCCTCGGCCCTTGCGGCGTTCACCGCGGCACGCCTGACGGCGCGGTCGAGGACAGCTACTTTCCCACCGTTGAGACCACCCTTCTCGAACGAACTCGCATGAACGTTGGGCCCGACCAGGTCTTGTTCGACCTGGCGCGCTCTGCGCGCTTCAACCGGGCCGAGAAAGCGCGCGGCGCTCGCCGTGACAGAATTCGCGTTCAGTGCCGCGATGACGTCGCGGAGGTTTTCCTCGTCGCGCTTTGCGCGCGCATCGACGTCAGACAGGAAAGCTTGCAACCCCGCCATGGATGCGAGCGGGCGCCGCCTGTTAATACGTAAAACGCGCTCGTGCGCAGCACTCCGTCCGCGCTCGGCTGCAGCGCGCGCGACGAGGCAGACCACCCACGCACGGGCCTCGTTCGGCCATGTATACGATGCACGCGAGTCGCGTGCGGAAGCGGCGTTGACGTCGAATCGCGTCGGAACGGTCCACGTTCGGTTGTTCTCTCGCGAACCTCGCGTTCGGCTGCGGAGTAGACGCCGAAGTGCGTCGAAACGGACCTTGTTCGGTCGTTCACTCGCTATCTCGTTCGGATGCGGCGTAGACGCCGAAGTGCGTATTAATTGGACCATGTTCGGTCATTCGCTCGCGATCCTCGTTCGGATGAGGCGTAGACGTCGAAGTGCGTCTAATCGGACCTTGCTCGGTCGTTCGCTCGCTATCCTCGTTCGGGTGCGGCGTAGACGTCGGAGTGCGTCTTATCGGACCTTGTTCGGTCGTTCGCTCGCGAACCTCGCTCGGGAGCGGCGTAGACGTCGAAATGCGTCGAATCGGACCTTGCTCGGTCGTTCGCTCGCTAGCCTCGTTCGGGTGCGGCGTAGGACGCCGGATTGCGTTTTATCGGACCTTGTTCGGTCGTTCGCTCGCGAACCTCGCTCGGAAGCGACGTAGACGTCGAATTGCGTGTTAAATGTGACCTCGCTCGGTCGTTCGCACGCGAACCTCGTTCGGAAGCGGCGTAGACGCCGAAGTGCGTCTAACCAGACCTCGTGGGTCAAATCCCGAGCGCGGGGTGCGCACCCCATGCTCACAAAAAGCAAGAGTGCATGCGCGCAGCCGCGGCGGGCATCGGCCGCGCGCGGGGGGCGCGCTGGCCTGTCCACTTCGCCTGCGGCGCGCCGCGGCGCGCGCAAGCCAAGCGGCGGCGCGGCGACTGTTCGCGCCTGCGTCCGCCGCGCGTGCCTGGGGCCAGCGAATGTGCGCGCTGGAACCAAGGGCCGGGTTCGTTCCATACAGAAGTATGTCAAACCTCGTCACCAAAACTATAGAAACATCCTGATAACAAAGAAGACAACGCCGTTCATCAAGGTGTCCAGGCTCCCAATAAATGTGTAAGCTTCCTATGGCACTGATTCGTAAGGGAACCACTGTTTAAAAAATACTTCAAGATGATTCCATGTGTTCGATGTCCCCTGGCCAGCCGTAGTCATGAAGGGGCGACGGAGAGGAAGCGAAGGAGGAGGAGGCTGACCACTAGGAGGTGGAGATTGCTGAGGATGAGGGGGAGGATGCAGAGAAGGAGGCTGACTACGCAGGAAAGGCGGGGGAGGAGGAGGAGGAGGAAGGAGAAGGAAGATGTGGAGGACGATGACGACGAGAAGTCCCGCGCCGCCCGCCAGCGGCGCGCCGTCCGGGCACCCACGCGGCCTCAAGAAGCAGCCCCGTGCGGCGGCATTTGCGGGAGCCGCTGCCTCCCGAGTCCGCGCCCATTTCGTGGACTGGCTCTCCTCCCCCTCCGTTCCTGGTCCCCCTCCTCCTCCTCCTGACATGCAGGCATGGATAGCACAAAGAGCACGCCCAAACATGCTCTTCTCGGCACTACCTGGCCGCACCGCTGTACGCGATGTCGAGTGCCCGGCACCGCGCTTACCGCCCAGGCCCGCGGCCCTTGAGCCCGAGGCTGGGATCAGCTGCAGGCAGGCCGTCGATCCAAGGCCGCCTGGGCTCGGTGCACCAGGCCTTCGACCCTCGACAATTCGCGGGCTGGATCGGCAAGAACGGAGTACCGACGGCGCGGCGGTCAAAAGCGCGGTACGCAGCAGAAATTCAACACACTATCGCGCGGGATTCGGCAAGACGCACCTGCCGGAATGGTCACCCTCAACGAGGAGGCGGGCGAATTTAGCGCGATGCAAGTATGGTGTCCCGCAGAGCGACGCGGCGAACGGGATCAGCTCGCGAGCGGACGGCTACGAACTACAACCCCCGTCACACGAAGATAGCGCGCCAGATTGCCACTTGCACGCTGATCCCTGCAAGGTGAACTCCACCCGCCACAGCTCGCCGAATTCGCCAACGGCGACGCCCACAACACCCCCACTCGCGAGGCTGAACTGCGAACCGCGCCCAGTCGCGAGGCACCAGTGCTGACCTGAGAGAACGTCTAACGGCGAGGTCGACACGAAACCAAACACCAGCCCAGAAGCGAATCCTCGGCGAGCTGGGGCTTCAAGGCAAGCAACGCTCCACGGCAAGCCTGGGCAGAGGCTAACCTGCGAGCGCCGTTCGGGGAGAGCGCTCAGCAGCTTAGCGGCGTCAGGCAGCCCGGGAGGCGGTCTCCTGCCGCGCGTGCTTCGACAGGCACCTCCACGACGAGCTCGGACCGCAGACCCAGAGCACTTCCAAGTGCCGTTCGGTCCGCGCTTCCTCGGAGAGCACGGCGTTGCTCTACGGTTCGGAGGCTGCCTCTGGGTGCGCCGACCCCAGTCTGCAGCTCCGAAGCCACCTTGGTTGCCAGCCCCGCAGCCTGAAGGGAAGTCTATGGTGGCCTCTTTGCCGGGCAGCCTGGGGACCGATCTCCGTTCGCGCGCGCTTCGACTGGCATCTTCACAGCAACATCGGGCCGCAGATCCAGGGCCTACCAGAGCCACAAGGCAAAGTCGGCCTGCAGTTCGTCGGGTAGCACGGCGACTTCGAGCGCCATTCGGTCAGCACTCCTACGGGAGAACTGAAATCGATCTACGCTGCGGGTGCTGCCCAGCCCCAAGATGGCTCCAAGAGTTCCCATGAGAACTCTGCACAAAAGGATACGAGAGGCGCCACGAGTGACAGACCTGTGGGCGGTGCTCGACGGGTCGCTACACAGAGTGCATCGCTTGCACGCCAGCGGAGTCGCCACAAGCATTCCGAAAAAAAACAGGAACTGGATAGATCGGGAATCTCTGAGAGCCGGAGGGTCTGGGTGATGCATCGGGCGCCGCGACCGTTCCAGGGCGCTCTGGAGCGCTTCAAGAGCGCTCAAAGGGCGCTGTTGGAGCGCTGCTGGGCCTGCCTGAGATCCTCCTCCTCTCCTTCGACGCCAGCGCCTGTCCATCCTTGGGACAGATGGCCTCTGGGGTCGGGTGGCCAAACGTCCTGACCGCGCAACGAGGAGGGAGTGGAGGTGCATCCAGGAGGTTTCTCTCAGTATCCAGGTGGAGGGCGGCAGTCCACCTGGGCACCAGCGACAAGGCCCACCGCAGAAAAGGCGACCAGGGGGGGGGGAGCGGAAAAGGAAGGAGGAGAGGGCAGGAGGGAACCAGAAGGCGGAAGGGACGGGAGCGCAGCCGTAGGGTCAGTGGCCCCGCCGTCAATCGCGCGCGCCGGCACCCGATGCAAAGAGCGAGCGGGGGAGCGGTGCCCCCACCTACGGGTGACCTTTGCCAACGGCGACCTTCGGCGCGCTGCTGTTCGGGAGGGGGGGGGCGTTACCCCGAAAAGCAACCCATCTGGATGCCGCCAGGAGCGACGCAGGGGCGCCCGCAAGCGGCCCGTTCGGCCCGGCACCGAAGGTCGCGCTGACGGAAGGGCACTCCTGCGACTCGCCGATCCTAGCCCACCGGACCCCCGGCCCGACCGCAGCGCAGACGCGGCGTCGGAGGACAGGAGCGCCCCGAAGGTCTCCAGGATGGAGCCTTTTCTGGGGGGACCGGCGGGCCGTGCTGCTCGCGAGAGGTCGGACGCGCCCTGGTGTCAACTTGTGTCTGCCCGAGCAGGCAGTGGCACTAGATGCTCTCTGCTCCCGTCGAGAGAAACTAACTGGGACTTCTGGGACTTCTGGGTTTTCGCTCAGTGCCCGCCGGTGGGCGCCTTATGGCCGCCTCGTACGCTGGCTGAGTAGCTGGGTCTGCCAGGTTGTCAGCCAGCGCCTGCGTTTGGATGTCTCGTGGGTGACTTATGCGCTGGCTGGCGCTCGCGTCACATTGAGCCTAACCCCATACAACAAACTCGACCACTTTTCCATCGGCTTTATGGATCCCTCATGAGACACTGCAGCAAGCACGTGTTTTGCCTCGTAGCTCGTTTTCCATATGAAAGCACACCAGCCCAGCCAAGCTGGCATCGCATCCTCCACTCCCTTCAAACAATACCAATCGCTCACACTCGCTTGTTTCACAGAAATCGTTGAGCAAGAATCCCCCTGCAACAAAAAACATAACAAACACCCACACATTGCAAACACGTCCACGTAACAGCAACAAACAGTTTATTATCATCAAAAACCTGCCGACCCTTCGGGGTGTGTGAGACGGTGTCGTCGTCTTCGTCGTTGTCGTCGTCGATTTCGGAGTCGTCGCCAGTCCCAGGAGAAGAAGAAATGAGCAGGGAACATGAGCGTCGTAGTCAAGTCGAGTCCATCCCCTTTTCCCCCGTGGTGGGGGGGGTGGTATAGGGGGGGGGACCGGGGGGTGAGTACGGTGGGGTCCCGGGGGCGTTCCCCCTGTGGACAGAGGGACCGGGGGACACCCCCATCTGGGCGGGTCGCCAGCGCGGGGCCCCTGGGAAGGTCCCTTCTGTGGTGGCGGGGCTGTTCCAAGTCAGAATACCGCCCCCCGCTTGATCCCAACATGTCCTGGAGGGCGCCAGCAGGGGTCCCGGGGGAGGTCCAGCCTTCAGGGTCGGCGGCACCAGCCGCAAGGCCATTCCGCGCGCACTTGCTGACATCATAGGACCAAGTCAGTCCAGCAATGGCGTCCCACAGCCGCACTCTCATTCCACAACACGGCTCACCTCCGTTGATCTACCATGCGCCCTGTGGGCGGCCCCACTCCATGCGGGCCGCACGCGCGCGCAGCCATGCGAGCTTGTTGAAGCATATATATATATATATATATATATATATATTAGGAACCCCTTGTTTCCGAACAAACTTCTTGATAGAGACGTCCAGCAAAAAGAAATAACCCCATTCCCTGATTGACCAAAGATCATAACATAGTTTTTGCATCTTCGCACGCGCGCACGTCCTCACCATCACCCTCATCATCTGGCGCCATCGCATCACATCCGTCACCATCTTCGTCAATCACTCAATTGCCGCTATCCTTACAAGCACAACCACCGCTATCAACAACAAAAGGAAATCATGATCGTCACATTGACCTTGCCGTCGTCATCATCAAACTCGCAACCACCATCGCTACTATCATCATCGTCGCGTCATCTGTCAACATCATCATAATACCGCTCCCGCCCGAGTCGCCAACCCCCACTGGAACGCCCGTGCGTCACCGCAGCCTTTAAGATCCGCTGGGGTGTCCCTCGGAAGTTAAGCGTCATCGCGGATGCATCAGTTGTACCAAACCAGCTGGTCGCCCTGCGCGCGAGCGTTCGCGCGCACACGCGGCCGCACACATGCGCTGGCGAGTGCCAACCCAAAACAGCATTCATGGCAGCATAGATGTTGCCAAGCAAATTGCGGGTGGGCGGGTGGGATGAGCGCGCGAGCAGTGGAGTTGACAATTCATGACTTGACAAAAACAAGCTACACTACATGGGCTGCGACCCCTAGCCTGCACCTCGAAACGCGCACACCATAAATTTCTTGACTAGAACCACGCACGCGCTTCGCGCGATTAGGTAGACAGATCGTGTCACTCGGATCGTGCCCCTCAGGGAATTCCACCGACGACCCCAAATACGTGCTTGACTCAGCGTCCCCCCGTCCATGCCGGCACAGCCCTCAAAAGGATCGCGCCCAACAGAGATCTATCTCTACCTACGTCCCCAGACACAAGTCTCGCATAGCTGCACGGCACTCACGCAGATCGCGACCAGCAAATAACTGCATGTGCGGCACCATAGGGAAGCTTCATAGCGTCGCCTGGCTTACTTCGGCACACCTCTCACACGGATCCTGGCCTGCAGAAAGTTCCAAAACGTGCCCAAGATGCAAGATTCGCATGCCGTCCCCCACCCCACCTACTTCGGCACATCACTCGCACGGATCGTGGCCCACAGGGATCTGGCCCCAGAGGCACGGTTGCTTCGCATTACGCGTCCCCCGCTACGGCGGCCCACCCCATCACGCGGATCGTCCACGCAAAGGCCCAGAGGCACAATTCGCACAGCGCCTCCCCACCGCCCATGTCGGCACATCGGTCGTGCGAATCAAGCCCCAAAGGAGCTCCACCAATGGCACCAATCGGCAGCTTCGCACGGCGCCTCCCCGCCCATTTCGGAACATGCCTCGCACGGGTCGTGCCCGGGGGAGGTTCACCTTCGGCCACAGCGGGCGTGTTCGCGCGGGGACATCCGAACCATTCAGCACACCTTCATTCAAGTCGTGTTCCTGCCAAGTGGGCTTCTGTTCTGCTAAGTGGGCTCCCGATATTCTTGATCCAGTTGCCAGCTGAGCCTCCTGCTGCTGGTCCTGTTGTTCCTCCTCGTCGTCCTCCTCGTCCTCCTCCTCCTCCACTTATTCTTCCTGTCCCTCTCCCCTTCCTTCCTCTTTTCACGTCCTACTACCACCTCCTCCTCCTCCTCCTCCGTGCCTCCTCCTCCTCCCCCTCCTCCTCCTCCTCCTCCTCCTCCTCCTCCTCCTCCTCCTCCTCTGCCTCGGCAGCCTTTGGCGGCCTTCAGCGGTCCGCGTTGGCTTTCGGCGGCCCCTGGCGGCCTTCGGCGGCCCTCTGCGGCTTTCGGCGGCCCTCGACTTATTCTACACCTTCTAAGTCATTTCACAAAGTCGGACTAAAGTCAAGCTCAACAGGGTCTTCTTTCCCCGCTGATTATCCCAAGCCCGTGCCCTTGGCTGTGGCTTCGCTAGATAGTAGATAGGGACAGTGGGAAGCTCGGACAGTCTTGCGCCCATCCTGTAGAGGGACACGCCCGACTTAACCCTACCCTCGCCCTCCTTTGGCGGCGGGGTGAGAGGAGTCCGCGCGCTCGTTGGTCGCGTGGCATCGCAAAACCACACCTTGCCTGTGTCCCTCCCCTGCGCGGCCCGCGAAATGACGCAGGAGGCGGAGCCGCGCCAATTCAGACTTCAGAAAGTGTTACAATTCATCCTCATGCTGGGGGAGGGAGGGTGGGAATAGGCGGGCCCCTCCGGCGCGCTCGACCTAGCTAACTTGGCTCTACACTCCTCCACTCTACTCTACTCGCATCTGCTCTGATCTATTGTATTAAACTGCACTCTACCCCGACCCTAGTCTACTCCACTCTACTCTACCCTCCTGCTAGTCTACTTTACTCTACTCTACTCTACGTTGCTTTATGATGCCCTACTCGGCTCGACTAATCTACGCTTCGCTGCTCGACTCTACTCTGCTCTGCTCTACTCTACGTCTGATTGTGAAGATGGTCGAACGATTGTGGGGACGCCATTGGGATAGCCACAGGAAGCCATTGCAATAGCAGAGGAAGCCATGGCAACAAGCAGAAGAAGCCATTGCAAGAGCAGAGGAAGCCACCGAAACCAGCGGAGCAAGCCTTTGCAATAGGTTGAGACATAATAGAGAGGTGGGAATTCGTAGAACAGTTCTCTTTACATGGAGGTATGACTCCTATAGGCAAGTAGGTCGGAGAATGTCACACAACGTCTCCACAACAAACCAAGTTCAAACGTCGGGAAATTACGCTAGGACGCACCCCATCGCATCTGCAATCACCGACTGAATTAACGAACGCAGCCAGAACGAGTGATTATAGGAAAGGACATGTGATCCCATTTGCACTCTACCTTGGAACACCTGGCGCTGCGTGCCCCATGGGCCATGTGTCCATGGAAAAGTGCTCGAGCATTGGAAACACGGCTCAAACTCTTCCGCGTTGGCAGACATGCTGCTCCGTGAATCCCTTGAATTGTTGACTCCGACCCTCGTTGGGACCTCTCTTGGGCTCTGGAGCCTCCAGGAATCTCCGCGGGCCCCCCCTCGGGGGACCTCCGAAAATTCTCGGGGACATCTGTGGCGAGGATCTGTGACCCTCCTCCCCCTCCTCCGCTCCTCCACTTAATCCTACTCGTCGTTGTCCTCGCCGTTCGCTTCCTCCTCGTTCTCCTCGTCCTCTTCGTCCTCCTCGAAATGATCCTCCGTCCTCCCTTCTCCCTCCGCCCGCCTGCATGCCCACCCTTTGCTCCTCAGATTCCATCCTGCTACGTTCCCTCGCTCAGGGCGGGGGCGGGAGAGGAAGATCAACTGGCCCCAGTAACCCAGCGAGGCCCTTGCGGGGTCAATTCGCAGGTGGGCCCACGTGATAAAACCATTCTCTGTCAGGAACGCTCTGGCGACAAAGAACACTCGTTCGACGGCGGGAGGCGACGCCGAGGAGGGCAGGAGGCGGGCAAAGCGGCGCCGTCGCTGGGCTCCGCCCTGCCAGGCAGGCGAATGGGCCGGCGGTGGCCCAGGGAGGGGCCGTGGATCAGGAGGGAGACGGCCATTTTAGGCGGGGGCAGGGAGGGGGGAGGGTGTCGATTTCTCTCGGTTCACCCCAGTGTGCCGTCATTCGCTCCGTCCATAGCAATTTGTGTTACAGGCCTTCATCGGGGCCACGGGAGCCCCGGAGGTAAGAGTACCTCCCTCGCCTTTCCTATTCTACCAACATCGAGCCCAATACGAACACTCCATACCCAACACCCTACCTCTCCCAGCTCAGCAGTGTGTGCGTGTGCGAGAAGGCGCCAGAGGAGCGCCTG